TTTTTTGAGACAGAGTCTCACTATGTAGCTCAGGCTGGCCTTGAACTAACAGCGATCCTCCTGCCTCAGCTGCCCAAGTGCTGGGATCACAGGTATGCATCACCATGTCCAGCAAGGTGACATTTAAAAATTGTTTTTTAAATCCAGGAGGGTAGCACACACCTGTAATCCCAGCACTTGAGAGGCTGAGGCAGGAAGATTGCTGTGAGTTTGAGGCCAGCCTGGGCTACACAGTGAGCCCCTGTCTCAAAAATAAATTTAAGGGCCAGGGATTTAGCTCAGTGGTTCTGGCGCCTGCCTGGAAAGCACAAGGTCCCAAGTTTGATCCCCAGTACCAAAAAAAATAAATAAATAAAAATAAAGTAAAATGTCACCTTAAACAAAAGCTGAATTTGTTGCATGCATTAGGGTCTGTTTCTGGTTTTTTGTTCATATATATATAAATTTTATTTTATCCCATTCTCCCCCAACCCTCCATGTACAAAAGCTTTATTTCCATTTTTTTCCATTTTTCACTTTTTTTCTTTTCCCTTCCTTTCTCCCTCCCTTCTCCCTTGTTTCCCTTCCTATTTGAACACTTTCTTTTCATTTCCCAGCATCCATTATATAGTTCAGTCCTTATTTCCACTTTCATGGAGTTCTGTTCTTGACCACTGAATTATCTACTTCATCTTTGAGTTCTAAAATTTTTACAAATCATGATTTCATAAAGCATTTTATCATCTGATAGCTTTAGCCTCATCTTACTACTTTCCTTATTTTTATTTATTTTTATTTTTTTGTTACCGGGGATCGAACTCGGGTCCTTGAGCTTTCGAGGCAAGCGGTAGAACCACTGAGCTAAATCCCCGGCCCCTTACTGCTTTTCTTTTACAGTGTTTTTCTGATTCAGTGTTTTCCTATTTACACATTTGATTTTCATACCATTTTTTAACAAAAATGAACAAAAAGCCTATAGGTAGTTCAACTAGAACCACAATGAATTAAGAGATTGAGAAATCACTGACATTTTTATAATATCTTCTGTCTATTCAAAGGCACGTTATAAAATTTTTAATATTATCTTTGTAAATGCCCCTTATATATCCTTTAAATATTTTTCCAAATATTTTTTACCTTTTCGGTTGCTAAAGTTGTATTATTTAATGGAAAGGAGGATTGCTGAGGCTCCAGGTTGTTTTCGTGGTGCAGGGCATTGAACCGGGGACCTCACACGTGCTGGGCAAGTGCTCTGCTTCGGAGCCACCTCTGCTGCCCAAGTTTTCTACATTAACCCCGGGAGCTGCCAGCCCCTGAATTCACTCACTGCCTCTAAGAGTGACACACTTTGGAATCACATCGTCTACCAGCAACATCATTTTGCTTTCTTTCTTTTGTCCAGTGGCAGTGGTTCGGACCTCCAGAGCCCTGTGAAGTAACAGGGTGGGGCTGCTCGCAGCTCTTCTTCACTATGGTGCAGTAACCCCACCCCCTCACTCTCACACAGGAGACCGGTTATGCATTTTCTTTGTTGTTGTTTTCTGGCTGTTTTTGAAATGTACACATACATGTAGGTGTGCATGAAACCATGTTGAGGAACTGCCAATACCATACATTACTGTTAGGGTTTTGTTTGTTTTAAGCAGAAATAGATGTAGAGTTTTGTCAAATTTTTTTTGGCATCTGTTGAGAGGATGTTATGTAATCAATTTTATTAGATTTCCTAATATCATTGAAACATCTGCATTACTAAGATGAACTAACTTGAATATGAACAATGATTTTTTTGAGATAGGATTGATTTATATTTGCCAATAGTTTGAGATTTGAGAAAGGCTGAAGCACGTATAGTAGCACATGCTTGTAATACTAGCAGTCTGGGAGGGTGAGACAGCAGAATCACAAGTTTGAGGCTAGGAAACTTAGTAATTTAGGCCCTGTCTCAAAATTTAAAAAAAAGTTTAAAAAGGGCCAGAAAGGGCTGCAGATTTAGCTCAGTGGCGCTGTGCTAAGGCCAGGTACCCAGCACTCAGGAGGCCAAGACTGGAAGATTCCAGTGAGTTCAAGGCCAGCCTACATTATATAATAAGACCCTGCCTCAAAAGAACAACAACAAAAAAGGGCTGGGGATTTAGCTCAAGTGTGAA